GTAGAGACGGGGTTTCACCATGTTGACCAGGATGGTCTCGATCTCTTGACCTCGTGATCCACCCGCCTCGGCCTCCCAAAGTGCTGGGATTACAGGCTTGAGCCACCGCACCCGGCCTGAGTAAGCTTTTTTCTAAATTAAGAATATTTAATCACTCTCCAATTTGTGGTATACAAATCTAGATTACTATATGAATATGAATATATTCAATCTTAAGAACAAACTGAGTGGATTTACTTAATTTCTGGAGTTCAGCACGATGGAGTCAGTCTGTAAAAGGATGCTCTGACAATGTATACACAGAATGTCAAGAAAAAGTACAATTAAGTAATTGTTACTGGGCAGTCGCTGCTACATAACTGTGTGCCAGCCTAATATAAAAGGCAGGCGGAACGTATATGCATGTGAAGTAGTTTCATTAATAAGAGAGGCGGGGTTGTGGTAGCTGATACAAACAGCCTTCTCAGTTTCAGACATTACAACCTGAGGCCAGTAAAGCTTTGCCCAGAAAGTCACATATTGTTATGTTATCTGTTTATAGGGTCTTCATGCAGTGACCCTCCCACTTTACCCAAGCTGAAGTGGGTAAATTCACATCCTGCATACTTCCTAACTTTTCTCCAAATGTGATTTTACATTTTAATTTAAACACAGTTTGTAGGTTCTCATGCATAGCTATTCTTAACAAATGAATACTTTGCATTGCTTTTTTCAAGCAACAAATATATTACTTTAGCTCTCTCAGAGTAACATTACAAAATTGTGGAACCTATTGGTTTTGTAAGAAAAGCTAATTTCTAATTAAACTCTTAATTATTTTTAGTGCTGAGTATATATTGAGAAGGTAGAATCTTTCCAGTAGCCTGGTTAGAAATACTTTTCATTGCACAACGAACATGAAAGGATGATTTATTTCTGTGCCAGCTATCCTCAATTTTCCTGACCTTAATGGAACATATTAGATCCAGCTGCTGGAATATTTACTCTAATGGAATAAAGCAGTTGGATTATTTCCTTGCCTATTTTCCAAAGAGGACAGTGTTGACCAAAATATGTGTACTTGTTGGTAGCACTAGAAGAACTTCATGATAGGTACAATTGACAGCTTTTTTTCTTTTTTTTAAGACGGAGTCTTGCTCTGTCACCCAGGCCAGAGTGTGATGGTGTGATCTCAGCTTACTACAGCCTACACCTCTCGGGTTCAAGCAGTTCTCCTGCCTTATCCTCCCAAGTAGCTAGGATTACAGGCATGCGCCACCACGCCTGGCTAATTTTGTATTTCTAGTAGAGACGGGGTTTCTCCATGTTGGTTAGGCTGGTCTTCAACTTTTGACCCCAGGTGATCCACCCACCTCAGCCTCCCAAAGTGCTGGGATTACAGGCATGAGCTACCGTACCCAGCCGTTGACAACTTTTAAAATAATTATCTGTGCCAGTGAAGAAAAATTTATGTAATACACAGAATAGTGAGTTAATATCCAGAATGCAGACATTTTCATGTTTTTCTTTTCCACAAATACTGGACTTCACCTTCTTGTCAGTGTCACCCTCCATTATAGGAAACACTGAGGAAAAGGAAATCACCACCAGAAATCAACTTCTATTGCATATATTCTTGATTTTATTTCAGTGACTTTTTTTTTTCTCTCCTAGGCTTGGATTCTTTGGGATTAAGCTTAAAGCAGTTATGTCTTCAAAAAACCCTAGATGATTTTTTAGACCCTGAGGGCAATTAGACAGGAGTTCAAAGCCGCAGGCATACTTAACCTTTAACATCTGCTTTGATTTCCTGTGTTTTCTACAGTGTCGTACCACATTAGCAATAGCACTTCTGGACTAAATCCTTTTTGCCATCTCAGGGAAAAGAAATTTGTTTGTAGTTCACTTTTGTATTCCTAGGAATACTTTGAAGAAATCTAAAAATGAATAAATAATTAAATGTTAAACATATGTTTGGGGTAAAATAGTCAATTTTCTATATAAGAATGAGATGTAAAGTGGTGAACCAACTTTGTATAGCAACATGACCATTCTCCTCTGGTGTAATTATTACCCATTCTAAAAAGGAGTTTATGAAACTTTAATTGCTTTGCCCTATTTGGGGAGAATTTAGTCTTGAATAGGGTGTCACATTTAACATATAGAAAAGTCTGGCCGGGCATGGTGGCTCACGCCTATAATCCCAGCACTTTGGGAGGCCAAGGCGGGTGGATCACGAGGTCAAGAGATTGAGACCATCCTGGTCAACAAGGTGAAACCCGTCTCTACTAAAAATACAAAAATTAGCTGGGCATGGTGGCGCATGCCTGTAGTCCCAGCTACTCAGGAGGCTGAGGCAGGAGAATTGCTTGAACCCAGGAGGTGGAGGTTGCAGTGCGCCGAGATCGTGCCATTGCACTCCAGCCTGGGTAACAAGAGCGAAACTCTGTCTCAAAAAAAAAAAAAAAAAAAAAAAAAAAGTCTTCTGTGGCCAGGTGCAGTGGCTTACACCTCTAATCCCGGCACTTTGGGAGGCCAAGGTGGGTGGATCACATGAGGTGAGAAGTTTGAGACCAGTCTGGCCAACATGGTGAAACCCTGTCTCTACTAAAAATACAAAATTTAGCCACCCATGATGGTGGGTGCCTGTAATCTCAGTTACTCGGGAGCCTGAGTTGAGGCAGGAGAATCTCTTGAACCTGGGAGGCGGAGGCTGCAGTGAGCTGAGATCATACCACTGCTCTCCAGCCTGGGCTACAGAACGAGACTCCATCTCAAAAAAAGAAAAAAAGAAAAGAGAAGTCTTCTGTAACTACTGTATAACTATTAATTTTTAGATTGGTTTGGCAGACTATCATTAGTTTGACAGATTAGTGGCAGATTATTTTCTGCCACTAACTAAAAAATAAAAAAAAAAATTAAGTCAGAAAATAATGCCCTAGGTTCTGAAAGACATCAACAAGAGATATTTCTGAGTTGACTGTTTATGATTGTTGATCTGGAAATCAACTTCAAACATTAAGACTTGAAGTACGTGAGCATTCTGTGATACTTCTGTAGTAAAATTTGCTACATATTGAAAATTTACTCTTCATAATAAATCATTTTCAGAAGCTTTTTGTCTTTCTTGCTTCCAGCGTGTAGCTTCATTTTTTGGACTCACTGAAGAATCTAGGTCTAATGTGATCCTTATACATAGAGTAAAGAACACCTAGAAACAGAAAGATGTATATTAATTGAGTATCCATGGGGGAAAAAACACTGAATTTCTTCCATTTGTTGTATTTTTATGAAACTAGCCCCCAATTTAAACAGAAGCAAACAAAGGCCCTCCTTTTTATTAGTTTTTGGTTTGGATCATACAAGTGACTCTAGAAAAAAACAAAACTCTAGGAGCACTTTAAAATGGATACTAATAAATTTATGATGTTATTATGCCAGCAAAATGTTGGTGAAATACTAGGAAAGTGGGCAAATTTGACCAGATGTTAAGATAAAAATAGTAGTCATCTCAGTTAGCAAACATTTATTCAGTCTTTGTTTGTACTCAGTATCCTGAGAAAAACAAATGGTGAATGGATCTAATTCCTGCTTCTAGGGATTTATGATCTAGTGGGTGAATTGCCTATGAGTTTAAATCGATGATATGTATGGCTTCCACAGAGTCCTAGGCATGTGGGGGAAGTAGCTAGGGGAAATAAGATGAGGAAGAGAGGAGCTGCTTTGGTGAGTTCCAAAGATGTCAGCAAATGTTGACACCCAAAAGCAAGTTAGGGAGTCACAGATTTAAACTACAACTCACACACCACCACCACCAGCCCATACCCATCTCAGTTATCAGGGTGTCAGATTTCAAAATTAGATCTCTCTTCTGAGTGTGAAACCCATATATTCATTATTGTACATATGACTTTTTTTTTTTTTTTTTTGAGATGGAATCTTGCTCTTGTCATCCAGGCTGGAGTGGTGCAATGGCATGATCTCTGTTCACTGCAACCTCTGCCTCCCAGGTTCAAGCAATTCTCCTGCCTCAGGCTCCCGAGTAACTGGGATGAAAGGCACCCCCCACCATGCCCAGCTAATTTTTATATTTTTGGTAGAGATGGGATTTTGCCATGTTGGCCAGGCTGGTCTTGAACTCCTGACCTCAGGTGATCCACTCGCTTTGGCTTCCCAAAGTGCTGGGGTTACAGGTGTGAGCCATTGTGCCTGGCCTTACATATGACATTTCCACATCACATAAGTAGATGGTCTCCAAACTTTCCAAATTTACTTAAGTAAATATGTTGAGCATGCCTCTCAAAATGTGCATTCATTTATTTATTTTTGAGACAGAGTCTTGCTCTGTCTCGCCCAGGCTGGTTTGCAGTGGCACAATCTTGGCTCACTGTAGCCTCCACCTCCCAGATTCAAGCAGCTCTCCTGTCTCAGCCTTCTGAGTAGCTGGAACTATAGGTGTGTGCCACCACACCCGAGTAATTTTGTATTTTTGGTAGAGATGGGGTTTTACCATGTTGCCAGGCTGGTCTCAAACTCCTGACCTCAGGTGATCCACCTGCCTCGACCTCCCAAAGTGCTGGGATTATAGGTGTGAGCCACTGTGCCACGCCAAAATGTGCATTTATTTACAAACAATATAAATGCAGGTGGGTGGTGGGGGTTTATGCCTGTAATCCCAGCACTTTGGAAGGCCAAGGGAGGAGGGTAACTTAAGGGTAGGAGTTAGAGACTAGCCTAGTTAAAATAGCAAGACTCATCTCTACAAAAAAATTTAAAAAGTTAGGGCCGGGCATGGTGGCTTATACCTGTAATCCCAGCACTTTGGGAGGCTGAGGCGGGTGGATTACCTGAGGTCAGGAGTTCAAACTAGCCTGGCCAACATGACAAAACCCTGTCTCTACTAAGAATACAAAAATTAGCCAGGCATGGTGGCAGGTGCCTATAATCCCAGCTACTTGGGAGTCTGAGGCATGGGAATTGCTTGAACCTGGGAAGCAGAGTTTGCAGTGAGCTGAGTTTGTGCCATTGCACTCCAGCCTGGGCGACAGAGCGAGACTCCATCTCAAAAAAAATGGAACATTCACAAGGAATCTTCTATTGATGTGGAAAAGAAAAGAAAAAAACAGAACAAAAAAATTAGCTGGGCATGGTGGCGCATGCCTATGATCCTAGCTACTAGGGAAGCTGAGGTGGGAGGATCACCTGAGCCCAGGAATTTGAGGCTACAGTGAACCGTGATTGTACCACTGCAGTCCAGCCTGGATGACAGAGCAAGACCCTGTCTCTCCAAAGAAAAAAATCGGTGGAACTGGAGTAGAGATTACTGTAAGGTGAGTCTGCCTCATCCTTTTGTCAGTTCTGGCTCATCCTTGCAAATTCCTGTTTATCTTTCCTTCTCGACTGTTGATTTGCTGACTTCGGGCCCCAGTATTAGAAACATAAGCAACAGCCTCGCATGGACTGTTTAGCCAACTCCAAAAATGTTTTAAGGTCATATCTCTGTAATAACTCCCTTCTTTTCCTCCTCTCTCTTCCTTTTCATTCTCCTTCTCCTCCTCCTCTTCATCCTCTTCCTTCTCGTCTTCCTTTATTATTATTATTATTATTTGAGACAATGTCTTGCTCTGTGGTCAAGGCTGGAGTGCAGTGGTGTGAGCAAGGCTCACTGCAGCCTTGATCTTCTGGGTTTAAGCCATCCTCTCATCTCAGCCTCCCGAGTAGCTGGGACCACAGGTGGATGAGACCTGCCTGGCTAATTTCTTAATTTTTTGTAGAAACAGGGTATTCGCCATATTGCCCAGTCTGGTCTCAAACTTTTGGGCTCAAGTGATCCTCCTGCCTCGGACTCCCAAAATGCTGAGGTTACAGGCATGAGCCACCACACCCAGCCTAAATTGCTTTTTATATATCACTACTGGTAGTTTTGCTTGTCTGAATCCTGACTGATACAGTTTGGAATTAGAAGTGCTTCCAGAGGAACAGAACCCTGATGATAGATTCTCTGAAGTGGTTTTGGGTTATCCAGAATTGGTTCTCTGATCTATTTAGATTTAAAGGCATTAATGGCCATGTTTTCAGTGATAAAGAGGATACTAACAGTCCATGTGATGTAGTAGTAAAATAGTTTCTTAAATTAAGCCAGGCATGGTGGCTTATGCCTGTTATCCCAGCACTTTGGGAGGCTGAGGCGGAGTTCAAGACCAGCTTACGCAATGAATTGAGAACCTTGTTTCTACAAAAAATAAAGGCCGGGTCCAGTGGCTCATGCCCACAATCCCAACGCTTTGAGAGGCTGAGGCAGGTGGACCATTTGAGGTTGAACTCCTGACCTCAAGTGATCCCTCGCCTCAGCCTCCCAAAGTGCTGGGATTACAGGGGGTGACCCACCACGCCGGGCCTACTTTCCTTTTCTAATTCCTTTCCCTGCTCACTTCAGGCCCAAGCTCCAGAATCATATGCAAGGGCCTCATAATTATATAAGGCTAAATACCTGTAATAAATCCCTCACTAAATATTACTACTAGTAGTTTTGCTTTTCTCATCAAACACTGATTCACCTACCAAGCTATGTAGTTTTCCACTTACATGCCGTGCTTCTGTGCCTTTGTTTTTTCCTCTGCCTAGAATCCTGAGCTCCTTCTCTGCTTAGTTAATTCCTCCTTATTCTTAGTTCAGCACATGATTTACATCCTTAGAGTTGCCTCCCCTAGCCTCCCAGCCCTTGTTAAATACCACTCCCTTATGTTTGTGCTACCATAGCAACCTGTGCTATTTCTTTTTTTTTTTTTTTATAGGTGATGAAGATGATCATGACCCTGAACGT